AGTACTCCAAATGGAATCATACAACTGGTTTGGTTTGATTGGTATAATGTCCTCAAGATTCACTCATGCTGTATGTAGCATGGGACAGGATTTCCTTTTCAAGGCTGAGTCATACTTCAGTATTGTTCTGCGTATTTTACTGGTCCACTCAGCTGCTGATGGACACTTGAATAGCTTCCACCTCTTGGCTGTCATGTGTAAGTGAAGCTATGAGTAGGAGTATATAAATATTCCTTCAAGACTCTGCTTTCAATTATTTGGAATAAATACTTAGTACTTGGGGGTAAGTAGTCAGGAGAAGTACTAGGATTGCTAATCATATGGCCATTCTTATTTAATCACCCATTCATTCACTGTGTGTGTCTGTTACATGGATTATGTACATTTTGTATGGGTATGTGCACATACATGTGCCAGTGGTCAACGTGGGACATTTTCGCTGCTGCTCACCATCGGCTTTTTTTTTGGGGGGGGGGTTGATTGGTTGGTTTTGTTTGTTATTTTGGTTTTCCAAGACAAGGTTTCTCTGTGTAACAGTCCTAGTTGTCCTGGAACTTGCTCTGTAGTCCAGGCTGGCCTCAAACTCACAGAGATCTGCCTACCTCTGCCTCCCAAGTGCTGTGGTTAAAGGCGTGCACCACCACTGCCTGGCTTGTTTTTTGTTGTTGTTTTGTTTTGTGTGTTTGTTTGTTTGTTTGTTTTTTGAGACAGGGCTTCTCTGTGTAGATCCAGTCATCCTGGAACTTTGTCTATAGACCAGGCTGACCTCAAACTCATAGAGATCCACCTGCCTCTGCCTCCCAAGTATTGGGATTAAAGGTGTGCGCCACAACCACCTGTCTTGTTTATTTATTTTTAAGACAGAGTCTTTCTATGCAGATAGCTGACCTTGAGCTTTCAGCAAAGCCTATTCCTCCCAAGTGCTGGGGATCCAGGCACAGCCACTACATACAGTTTATTTTCAGTGTGAGGAACTGCCATACTGTTGCCATAGTAGCTGTATGTTATACTCCCACCAATAATGCAAAGATGTTCTGATCTCCATGTCCCTACAATACTTGGTGTTTTCCCTTTGTCCTCTTAGCCATCCTAACAGGTATACAGTGCATCTCACTGTGGTTTGATTTGCAGCCTTGCTCTCTACCAGTAGAGTAGAGGGGCTGGAATTGCCTAGTGTTCTAGCTCTCTAGTCTGTCCCTGGAACTGGGAACTGAACACTTGAGCAAGAGCTTGATGCCTTTGTAACCTGGCCATTGTGAAGAAATATGCTGAGGAAACAGCATGAGAGCCCTCCCTGTATCTCTTATAAGAGACTCATCTCTCTAGACACCCAAACCAACCTGCATACTCCACCTGCTGTTCACCCTTTTCAAACCTGCAGGTTTTTCATTCTTAAAACCCATGGCCCGCCGGGTGTTGATTGCGCACGCCTTTAATCCCAGCACTCGGGAGGCAGAGGCAGGCAGATCTCTGTGAGTTCGAGGCCAGCCTGGTCTCCAGTTCCAGTGCCAGGATAGCCTCCAAAAGCTACACAGAGAAACCCTGTCTCGAAAAACCAAAAAAAACAAAACAAAACAAAACAAAACAAAACATGGCCCTTTGGGGCCAGGAAGGGAGGCATAATCTGGACTTCTTTAGGAAAGCCTTGGTTTAGGTTACAACTAAGGGGGCTTTCAGTTACCAGCCTGAGTTCCTACAATAACGAGGGTAGTACTTTCTTTTCTTTTTAGTTTTTGGTTGGTTGGTTGGTTTTGTTTGATTGGTTTTGGTTTGGTTGGGAGATTTTTTGAGACAGGGTTTCTCTGTGTATCCCTGGCTGTCCTGTAACTTGCTCTGTGGACCAGGCTGTCCTTGAACTGCTAGAGATACACCTGCCTCTGCCTCCGGGTTGGTAGTACTTTTCTGAACCTTCAGTTTTCTCATGTGCAAGATGGGAACAAAGATAGCTCTTCATTGGTGTGTTGAGGTGCCTAGGTGAGAAAACACATTAACATATCAGCCAGAGAAGTTGATGGGAGAGCCAGGACTGAGTGCCCCAGGACTAGAACCCATGTCTCCTGACTCCAGCCTCTCCTAATAGGTATATTTGCTTCTGTCAGCTAAGAGAATGGGAGTGTAGAGAGGAGTCAAAAAAAAAAAAAAAAAAATCTCTTGAAGACCAGCATAGAAGAAGCACCATCTAAATTGAGAGCCTGCTCAGAAAAGTCACTGTAGCTGAGACCCAGAGCCCTTGGAAATAGAAACCAAACAAACGTTCTAATCACCCCGGCCCCAGCCCTGTGGAGTCTTGCTCTACACAGCTGAGACAACACCTCCCGAGGCTGAGGCCACAGAGAAACTAGATGAAGGCAAGGGAGCTGCAGAGTGCTGTTTGAGAGGACATTACCAAGGAGTTCTGGGGCAAAAGCCAGCTTGGGGTGGTTCCACTGTGGGGTCCCCATGAACGTATATAGCCTGACTGTGAGTCTCTCCTGTTCTGGAATGGGGGCTTGGGCTGTCTTTTTGGAATTCTTGGGCTTATTCTACTCCCAGGCTTGTCAAGGGGAAGTAAGGTTCCTGTGTACTTACTCATGCTGGTCCTGTTTCTCTGCCCTGTCCCCTGACTCCACACTCTGTTCAGCTTTAATGCCAGGCCTTTGAGGTACTAAAATCTTGGACGCTGTGTTCATCTTATAGCACTGGGAGGTCTTCCAGAAGGTGACAGAGGTCTTCATCCTGGTGCCTGCACTGCTGGGGCTCAAAGGGAACTTGGAAATGACCCTGGCGTCGAGGCTGTCCACTGCAGTGAGTGTCCTAGCTGTGGGGAGCAGGGGAGGAGGCCGGGAGAAGATAGAGACTAGTAGGTATCCACACAACTGCATGGGCCTATGGAGGGAGATCCCAGACTGGGTGTCCTGTCCCCGGGGTAGGGGCTCCCTGCCCAGAATGGTTCTCAGGCTTGTACTCTGGATGTCCCAGCCATCCCTGGATGCCTGCCCCACCTCCTGCATTGCAACCTGCCTCGTGACTGTTTGTGCAGCTTTGACAGGCAGGCTTCATGCTGGTCTCTCCAGCCACACAGGTGGGGGCCTCCTCTGATCTCTAGCCCTACTCTGCAGCTGGGCAGGAGCAGAGCCAGGCCCTCCCCACACCCCTTCAAACCATCCCCTCTCCCTATCTCAGCTTGTTCTTCAAGAGAAGAGGCATTTCCACCTCCCACAATCCTTTCTCTCTGCCACAACCATTCATGGGCTAAGCCCAATAGAAGGCCATGGCTGAGAGGCAAGAGGTATTAAAACTCAAGAGACCAGGCATGTCCCCCTATGGCCAAGTCTGGAGCAGATAGTATAGAAGGCAGCTAGCCTAATCCACCCCTTGCTCTTTCTTTCTCCTGGAGGGTACCACCCACTTCCTTCCAAATACTGGCAGCCTTAGCCCTGGGCCAACAACTGACCTTGCCTTCCCTAAGAGAACAAGCTGCTTCACCAAATCATGCAGATCCTTGCTGGAACGTGCTGCCCAGATAAACAAAATAGAATGGAATCTGTCTCTGTCCTCTCATATCCTGGAACTTACCCGCCTTGGGTGCTTTCGTATTCGAGTCACGAGGCAGGTTGCAATTTCATAGAGTCTTAAGCATTATGCATTGCTTTTTGACCCAGTCTAACAGATAGAAACCCAGACCCTGTGCAGCAAGCTCCAACTGCTCACCCTCCCTCTTCCAGGCCAACATTGGACAAATGGACACACCTAAGGAGCTCTGGCGGATGATCACGGGGAATATGGCTCTCATCCAGGTAAGAAAACATGGACCAGAGACAATAGGCTAAGCTTTTCCTTAGTCAGGAATCCCTGAAAGGCTTAGGTCAGCCCAGCTGGCTCCTAAGCGGCTGTCCAGCATCCTGCAAAGTAGGCTAGGAGGTGACTAGTTACTCAGGAAAATGGCCAAGATAGGGAGAGCCCCAGCAGCTTCCATGTCACATGGCTTCCATGTCACAGGCTCTAGATAGTTCTGGGGCTTTTGAGCCTCCACCACTCTCTGTGGTAGAATCAGACTTGTGAGTGTTGGAATGTTCTCTGCCACTGCTGTCCCATTCCCCCACCACCACCACCTCCCCTGGAAGGCCGCAGAGATTGAATGTCTTCCCCCTTGAGTCCCAGGTCTTGACTCTGACTGATCTCTGGGCTGTTGACTCTTATCCCATCTCCAGAGAAACATCCAACCAGCCAGTAATGTGTCCTAGGATTTTGCAGGGTGCACTACCCTGTACTGGAGTCAGGGATAAAACTAAATAAAGGCATCTTGTAGCCTGCAAGGACTGTGGAGTCGGGTCCTGCCTGCTTGCTATAGGGCTAGGAAGAGTCCTTCGGGGACTTGGTGACCCTCTCAACTAAGGAATGCTGCTCTCCACATTACTGTGTCTCTCCCCAGGTTCAGGCCACAGTGGTGGGCTTCCTGGCATCCATCGCAGCTGTCGTCTTTGGCTGGATCCCTGATGGCCACTTTAGCATCCCACATGCCTTCCTGTTGTGCGCCAGCAGTGTGGCCACAGCCTTCATTGCCTCCTTGGTGCTGGGTAAGAAAGGGAAGAAGACACAGGGGAGAGGATGCTGCTCCATGTTCTCTTTTGTTCATTGATGCCCCTCTATTTCCTTCTCACCCTACCTGGCTTGTCTCTCCTTCCTTACCAGGTATGATCATGATTGGAGTCATCATTGGGTCTCGAAAAATTGGGATCAACCCAGACAATGTGGCCACGCCCATCGCTGCTAGCTTGGGCGACCTCATCACCTTGGCACTCCTCTCAGGCATCAGCTGGGGACTCTACCTGGAATTGAGTAAGGCTAAGGCCCCTGAGAATGGCTTGGGTGGACTCCGGAGTGGCACTGGGAGAGATTGGGACCATTTTGCAAATGCGTGAAGATCTTTGCTATATTGTTAACTATGTGAACAGCTTGTCACACTTCCCAGTCATAGGGAGACTAGGTAGGCACTCATCTCAGCTCCTGCAGGCAAACAGCAGAAGGGAGAGGTTCAGAGCTCATCCCTGCTTAATCCTAGGGGTTTTGTTTCCCTTGGAGGGATGGGATGTGGAAAGGGGAACGGAAAGAATGGAAGCCTAGAATCTGCTTGTAAACTGAAGAGGAGAAGGGGAGGTAGGGATTTCTGGGATTGGACCAAGACACATACAGTTTGGCATCTGTTTCTGTTAACTTTACTGCCTGAGCTGGGCATGGTGGTGCACACCTATGATCCCAGCCACTCAAGAGGTGAAAGCAGGAAGAGAGTGAGAATAAGGCAACTTGGGCTATGTAGCAAGACCTTGTCTCAAAACAAAAATGTAGTGCCTGAGTAGTTCTCTGCCTTCATTTATTCCTCTACAAAGTAGACAAAGCTGGCCTCACTACCTCCTGGGTGTGCAGCGATGATCAGATGAGGTGATATGCTTCCAGGCATTTAGGGTAGAATTACTGCCAGTGGGTTGATCTCTTGGGACATCTGCAGTCTGAGCTGGGGGAAGCTAGGTACTGAGGCCCTGGCGCTTATCTCCCTCTGGTCTCTGCCCTTTCAGAGCACTGGCGATACATCTATCCCCTGGTATGTGCCTTCTTTGTGGCCCTGCTGCCTGTCTGGGTGGTGCTGGCCCGAAGGAGCCCAGCCACAAGGGAGGTCTTGTATTCAGGCTGGGAGCCTGTCATCATTGCCATGGCCATCAGCAGGTAGGCTGGATCCCTGAGTATACTCCTATGTCATTCCCACCTCACCATAGACCCCATCTGAAACTGGGAATGTATCTGTAGTGTCAGTCATGTGTCCCTTTATTGCAAGTGACAGGAACTATGTGTATTAGGTTTCATTCCAAAGTAGAACATATTGACCTTGGGAACTAAAAATAATCAGCTGTATCCCGGGATGAATGCAATACCATTGAGACCCTGGGACTCTACCACTCTGCTTTCTCTGTGGTGATCAGCAGTCCAGGTTTTCACCCTTCTGACTCCTCCCAATTCCAGCAAGAGGAGAGAGGCTTTCCCCCACAGTTGCACAGAGACCCAGTATAGAATGTCATTGCTTCCTGTTCAGTTGGTCACAGTTCTGTCCTTGAATCAGTCATTTAGGCTTGGGAATGCAGCTGTCTGGTTGGATGGGGAGATTAGCCACAATTGAAACAGTGTTACCTGGACCACAGTGACTGAGTTTGAGAGTGCTGGTTCCCTCAGGGAGGAGCCAGTGCTGTTACCATAGAGGAAATCAGTGCCGAGCAGGCAGGCGACCAGGGTCCTCATGGGAAGGTGGCTCTGCTCACACTTCTTGTACCAGAGTCACTATGCCAAGTCAGGAGATTATGTGCAACAACTGTTTCATTTAAGAGAACCAAAGACTGAAAGGAGGGACTTCTGGAAGCCACTTTGCTGCCCTTGTCCCCAAGGTTAGAGTGGCCTGTGCCTCTTGTCCCAGAGACTAGAGCAGAACCTTTCAGTGGTCTCCATGTCATTTGTCTTTCTGTCTCTGTAGTGTGGGCGGCCTCATCTTGGACAAGACTGTATCAGACCCCAACTTTGCAGGAATGGCTGTCTTCACACCTGTGATTAATGGTGAGGCCTTAGCATTAGTTTCTGGGGGAACAGCTGGACATGGCTTCTGTGTCACTCAGGGTTCCAGCAGACAAAAGAATCTTAACTCAGAGAGGACAAGATAGAGGTGGGGTAAAAGGACCAACAGGGGGACCATGAGGCACCCAGAAATTAGCAACATGAAAGTCTCTAGCCCTGAAGGGCCAAGGGGACCCAGAAATTATCTTGTAGGAAGGAGTCCAGTTAGAATTCCAGTCTGCCTCTTGCAAGAGTAAGCTCTTTCCAAAAAGCAGAAAAGAATCTAGAAAAAAGCAAACAAAAAACCCACAAGACCCCTCTCCCTGTTCACCTGCTGGTGCCTCCCACTGTACAAGCCAAGTAAAAGCATCCAGCAAGAGAAACTGGTGTGAGGCCTACAGCCGTCACCTCTCAGGGCTCAGGGCAAAGCTGAGAAAGAAGTACAGGGACTAGGTTGGGGTATGATGTTAAAGGCAAACAGTAACTGGCAGTTTACTGGGACATTACCATATAAGAGGTCGCACTCCTTACTGGAAACTGGTTATTGAGTATGTGAGCACTGGGTGCCTGACTCAGGCTCTATCCCTGCCAACACCCTCAGCCACTTCAAGGGTACATGGAACTGTCATACCTGCATGTAAGGGAAGTTGAAAGCCTAGAAGATTCCTCAGAAGCAGTGAAGTATTTGTCTTCTTCCGTCATGTTTTGTTCTCTTGGCACATGGGGAAAGGACAATACCTACATAGACTCTAGTGAAGGTAGAAGACAGGGCCCTACAGATCAAAGACAAAGAACAAGGTGCTTCCCTCCCAGTCCTTCTATCCAAGTCTGAGTCCTGTGTGTCTCTCTGCAGGTGTTGGGGGCAATCTGGTGGCTGTGCAGGCCAGCCGCATCTCCACCTTCCTCCACATGAATGGCATGCCAGGGGAGAACTCTGAGCCAACTCCTCGCCGCTGCCCCAGTCCATGCACCACCTTCTTCAGCCCTGGTAACCACGGCATCTCAACCTCTGGGTTCATTCCGCTTTGGGGGGGGGGGTCGTCTGCAGACAGGAACTAGAGGCACCTGGGGCCAGGGTTCAGGGTTCTCCTCTGTTGTCTTCTCCTGAAATGCCCTGGAGGTAGAGCTGTGTGCTGGCCTAGAATATGGCACTGACCATCCTGTGACCTTCTGGTCTTCCTGTCTTCCTCTTTCCTCTTCCAGACGTGAATTCACGCTCAGCCCGGGTCCTCTTCCTCCTTGTGGTCCCAGGACACCTGGTGTTCCTCTACACCATCAGCTGTATGCAGGGCGGACACACCACCCTCACTCTCATCTTCATTATCTTCTACATGACAGCTGCACTGCTCCAGGTATGGCCTAGGAGGAGCCGGGGAGTCCAGGGGACCCTGTGGAATAAGAGCCACAAGTTTAGACCTGGTCTCTTGCCTCTTCTCTCTGTGTATCTGGATAGCCACTGCCCAGGACTCAGGAGGATAAACAGGCTGTGGCTCTAGAAGAGTTACCACCATGCTGTGTGACTTTAGCCTAGCTATATCCCTTCTCAGCCTCAGTGATACACTTTCAAAGTGAGAAGAGTAGACCAGCAGCAGGGGTTTCAGGCAGGCAATTACAGGACACTTAACAGGGGAACTCTGACCCACCTATACCCTGCTCCCTGCTAGCCTTGCCACAAAGCTCTACACTTGGCCTTTTTGCCGTCTGGGCTTCGTTTGAATAAAGGGTTCCACAGCTGGAGCAAGCATCAAAACCATTTTTCAAGACAAATCCAGCTTCAAGACTCATCCAGCCTTGCTCTTCTGTATAGCCACGGTACCCTCTCCCTATGGTATTACTAGATTTGACTTAGCCATTCTCCTATTGATAAATAGTTTCCCTCCAAACCCCCAATTCGGTGGTTCCTTGGGAAAGTTGTGTGTTATAGGAATCTTGGCAAGAGCTGGGCTAAAAATCAACCGTATGTTGTTTCCCAATAGTAGTTAACCCAAATCACCGTGCTCCCTTGCAAATGTAATCAGGAGCGCATACACACACACACACACACACACACACACACACACACACACCAATGGGAAAGGAGCATAGTTATGCCAAGGGTCTGTTGTGGCTGTTTCAGTTCATCCTTTCGCCTAGGTTGGAAGGCTAAACCTTCATGGTATCTATCTATGAATACCCTGTGGTCAGTTATAGCTGTCTTCCTTCTCTGAATCTGTGGAAAAGCAAAGTGTTGACAGTTGCTCCCTGTAAAGTTCTGCCAGGTCCCTTTGCACCTGTCCCAGCATGTGTCCTTGTGCCACTCAGGAGGCTAGCTGCGAGGACAGCTGCTGCCATTCCCATCCTAGTGCACATCTAGCCACACTCTTAATTTGGGACTCTGAGGCAGCTGTCAAAAGGCTGTGACATTACAGGGAGGCTGGACTACAAAGCCAAGGCCAGAGCACAGGAATACAGGGTAGCCGTGTGCAGAGCAGGAGGCATGTGACAGGTTCTGGAATAGTGATCTCAAGAATAACACACCCCCACCCCAGAGCCCAACCATTAGAATGTGTCTCATTCTCATAGACATTGTCATTTGGGGATCCCTAAGCTAGACACTAGTGCTCCAGATTAAGTGCAGTTCCAACTGCAAGGTGCAAGTAAATCTGACTAAAATGCAAATTCCTATTCAGAAGGCCCAGTGTTAGGCTTGAGATTGTGCATGTGTGACACACTCCCCCACTGCAGTCCATACTACTGGTCCCGGACCCAGTAACTAGATTCTGATCTTGGCTATTCTATTCTCATCTGTAATTACAGAAGGTAAGCTAGGTACAAACAAATCAAAGTTGTAGATAATTCAAAATGCATTTCGAATTGCTATGCATTATAACTGACTTTATGTTTAGCTGACTTGTTCCTAAACCTATTTTTTACAGATGAATGTTAGAATAAACTTAGATTCTTTGAGCCTGCAACAGCAGGGTAGAAAGGGTGAAGAGAAACCAGCTTGGATAGTCAGCTGTTACCCAGATGACAGAGGAGAAAGATCCTTGTAAGGGAAACTGGCTCTAACTGCCAGCCCCTACCAGGCTCCTGGAGAGGCCAACATGGCAGGCATTGCAGTAACTCAAGAATGGCCTGACCCAGAATTAGAGGCAAAGACAGAGTTCCTGTTAGGGTAGGATTTAGTTTAGAAAGCCCCTGGCTTGGTGTGTGAGCTGTCGTGGCCAAAAGGCTGTGACTGTCCAAGGCTGTGAACAGTCCAGTGAACAGTCCAGTCATGTGGCCTCTGGCTCCCCCTGCAGAAAGAGGATGGCTACAGCAGAACCCTTCTCTCTCCAGGTGCTGATTCTCCTGTACATCGCAGACTGGATGGTGCACTGGATGTGGGGGCGGGGCCTGGACCCGGACAACTTCTCCATCCCATACTTGACTGCTTTGGGGGACCTGCTTGGCACTGGGCTCCTAGCACTCAGCTTCCATTTCTTATTTTACCCCCCCCCCCCCCCCCCCCCCCCCCACCCTCTGCACTTTCTATTTGGATTTTTTTTTTCCCTTTTGTTTCCCTACCCCACCCTACACTACACTCCCGAGTCTTTCTGGGGTTTCACTTTGATACCAAATTCTCATTATTTTCAATGGGAATTTTTATACATTGAGCCAAGCTTGGATAGCAAAACTTCAGGAAGGACAGGTGGACTGAAATAAGCAGTTAAAGTGGACTTTTGAGACAATCACCAAGTGCAATTCCATGGTGGGTGCCTCCAGGTGAGGTAGACTGGGACCTCGGCGTTCTGTCTGGCATCTGGGGACCTTTGGATTAGCTTTAGCAACCTCAGCCTTGGCCCTAATGAGAAACTCTTTGTAAGTGGGCTCTGGGTTGTTTTCAGTTTGATTGAACAGAGAGATGAGGGATAATTAACACTCCACACATACTTTTATAGAAATGGACCAACTTCAAAGCACTGGGCAGGAGAAAGTTGCTTCAGCTCCAAGTAATCACAGCCCTGTTGTTCCAGGCCAACCTGCACACAGAATCGGGTGAACTGACTGTTCTGTCTGTGCACATGCGCCTTGCCCAATGCCTGATTGCTTTCCAGCTGAATGAGCAGTGGCCTGGGCTCTGCATGGATCAGTGTCATCCATAGGTTTCCAACAGTCCACATGCCCCCTGAGTCTAGCTTCCTCTCTAATTGTCTCCAAGCACTCCCTTTCCCCACAGCTTGCCAGAAGGGCTTCTAAGACTGGAAACAGGACAAGGAAATGTGGCAAATGAGGTTGATGCAGGGGGTGTTTCACTGCTGTTTCTCCTGAGGACATAACCACATGGTCTGTCTTGGCTTCTGTCACTTCCTAAAAGCACTCATTCTATCGTACCAGAGGTCAGTTGGCCTTTCTCTTGGCTCCTACCCACTGACATTTGTCATCCATTCACTCATTCAGCAAATCTCAGCTTCCTCCAATGAGCCTTTCCATAGCATGGCCTATGATAATTCTCCATCGAGCAATAGTTATGGGGTATCTACTGTGTTAGGTACAGTGCCAGGCATTGACTAGCCAGTGCTAATTGGGTCACAGCCCTAACCTTACCTCATTCCCTCGGTTACAGAGGCCATGTGCCCCTTTCAATCTGGTAGTAGACGTTCCCTCGCTGTAGGTATCTGTGCCTACTTCAAGGCAAGTTCTTGCCTCATTGCCTCTTTAGACCCAATGATTGCCAGCCCCGTTACTCTAGCGGCTTCATGCCCTAAAATACCCTCCCTCCCCTTCTCTGTACACCTCACTACACACTCAGAGGAGGGTTTAGAACGAGCAAGCTGGATATCGGTCGGCTGCTTTGGCACCTGCCTGTACATGATTGGAAGGAAACTGGAGTCCCTTCTCCAAACATTGCTCCAAACGGCTAAACAACTGGGCTGTGGGCTCCTTTCTAGCCTGTTTGTCAGGAGCTCATAGACTCTTCCCCTATAGCTTAAAGGATCAGCCTCCAAGGAAAGGACTAAGCTGTGCCTGGATCTACAAAGACTTCTCGCCCCCCATTCCCTCCCACATAACCTGAAATCATAGAACCTTAGAATTGGAGTCAGAGGTTATCTAGTTGGAATTGTGTCAAGCAGATTAATACCAATCTGGGCTTGTTTCTGCTCTCTCCTCTGGCCTAACTCCACCCCAAAACATACACTTGTGCAGGCATCACACCCGAGACTTTGACCCCAGGGTCCCCCAGCCACTTACCCTATCCTGATTTCTGGTGTTGGATCAGGTAGTCTAGAGACTGAAGCATCCCTCTCCCTTTGCCCAGAAAGCAGAAAGGTAGGCACACCCAGGCTCAGCATGTGAGCAGAGGAGGACTGGAGTGAGAGGGAAGTTGACTTCAGTAGAAGAGTCATCTCTTCCCTCTGGGTTGCACCTATTGCATGTACTTTTGGCCTGACCAGAAGAAACAAAATTGGTTTACTTTGATATCCTTCAAAAGTTACAGAACTGTGTCTTAAGAGAATTATTTATAGTTACTATAACTGAATTGACAGATGTCGACTTAACTGATAAATTATATTTGGTAAAATAAAGTGGAAGTTTATTTCGATGGTTGGCATTCCCATGTGTCTCATCAAAAAAGCAGCCTCAACCATTTTTCTTGGACCCCATTCTGTGGTCCCACTCCCTCCTCAGAAATGGGAAGGGGCAAATGTGTGACAAGCAAGGAACCACCTTAGAGAGAATAACAGAAAACACACATCTATTGAGAAAACAGTGGTGCTGTGGGGCATATTTCAGAGGTTGAGAGCGGTCCTTGTATTCAAAGATATTAGACTGGGTCTCTTTGTGCGGGTGGTAATGGTATCTGGATTAGAATTCCTTACTTGCTGGTTTATACATGAGTCGAATCAAAGTAGAAATGCTTTTTACATGGAGTATTTGCCATGTATCTTCACTGGGTTCAACCCTGTAAACCCTGAGAAATTTACAAAACCGGCTGCAAGGGAATTGTGTTTGTACTTAGATTTATATGACCTTCCACAAATCACCTTCTCAGCTTGTTTCCTAACCTGAATTTTATAGATATATACCATTTATATGGTAGTTGTGAGATGCACTAAGTTCTGTTCCTGGTGCATGCTAAGCCCCAAAGTACTACAAAATATTAAAAGTAAGTAAGCTAATCAGCGTTACATTGTTGTAACAAAATTCCTGAGATAATCACTTATAAAAAGGGAAGGGAGCTGGAGAGAGGGCTCAGAGGTTAAGAGCGCCTTGCTGCTCTTGTAGAGGACCGCAGTTTGGGTCCCAGCATCCATATCAGGCAACTCACAACCGGATGCCCTCTTCAAGCCTTCATGGCCACCTGCACAGACATTGTGGGTGGATATACTCATGGATTCGAGCACACACACAGTAGTTGTTTGTTTTTAAGGGAAGATTTCAGTACATGGCTAATAGGCCTCATTGTTTCTGTGGTATAGATGTTGTCAAGGACTCACAGTAGGGCAGACTGCACCTTGTGGCAGCAATCAAAAACAAACAAAAAAAAAAAAAAAAAAAAAAAAAAAAAAAAAAAAAAAAGAGGAAGGACTGGTGGGTGATCCACAATCCACTACAAGGCATACCCTCAGGCCCCACCTGGTAAGTTTCTGGTACTTTCCAGTAATGCCCAGATAAGGACCAAGTCTATTGCACAGGCCTTTAAGAGACATTCCCTACTATAGCAGTGGAGACCAATGATGAGCAGTGCCCAGACACCACAGGATTAGCTGAGAGAGGCCTTGGCAAGCCATGGTGTTCAGGAAAGCCAGCCTTCCTGAGGTATGATGAGGCCATGGCCTGGAGGGAGTAGAGGGAAGGGGATGCCATTCTACAGAGGGATCAGGAGCAAAAAGTCAGTCTGATATTTTGGGGAACAGAAAATAGTTCCAAAAGGCCTTGAAGGTGACCATACAACCTGTGAGCTTCGTATTAGGGGGTGGGGAAAGGCAGGGATGGTTCTTGTTTGTGTATTGAGACTTGCCAAGGGTCAAGAATGACCTTAAGGGGTGGACAGAGAGCTCAGTGGTTAAGAGCACTGGCTGCTTTCCCAGAGTACATGGGTTCAATTCCCAGCACCCGCATGACAGCTCAGAACTGTCTGAAATCCAGTTCTAGGGGATCCAACACTCTCACAGAGATAGATATTCATGCAGGCAAAACACCAGTGCATATAACATAAAAATAAATCATTTTTTTTAAAAAGGGAATAACATTGAGCTTCTGATTTTCCTGCCTCTGGGTTACAGCCATGTGCCACCATTTCCAATTTATACAGTGATGTAGATAAAAACCCAGGATTCCATGGATGCTAGACAAGCAACAGCCGAGCTCCATGTCCAGCTAGACATGTATTTGCGATGAGGTAGATGCAGTAAGGCAAAGTCAGAGAGTAACCTCGCCTGGGTCTCTCTGATGTCCAAGTCTTGTCTAAGAACCACCACCCATATAGGGCAGGGTCCCCGCAAGGTACCACACAACAGTATACTGCATTAATTTTGTGCTGAACACCTGCTGAGCTCAGGAATCAGCTTCTAATTCCCCTGAGTTCTAGGACTAACTCTTCAAAGTTAGTAAAGCTGTTAAGGGAAAATTGAGAAGATGAGAATTGCTTGTCAGTGATTTATGTAGTGTTTTACCATACAGCATGTTATACCGTATACATGTCATACAGTATACCATTAAATTAGTAATCTTGTGTACAATGTTAATGTCTGTAGTACCTCTGAATAGATATTATCACTTTTTTATAAGAGAGAAACAAAATCAGAGAGGTTAAATATCAAGTCAAGTCCCTCTCAGTCCAGTGCTTCCTACTATGTCTGGAGACAGATGAAGTGGCTAGTCAGGGCATCCCTTTATAATGAACATAAAACATTTCTGAAATTGTGTGTGCATGTGTGTGTTATACCAGCTAGCTCAGTTTTGCTCAGACAACAAATTAACTGCAAAATATTAGTTGTTAACTATTAACCCCAAATAACCTTCTTTAAGGCCAGGAGTGATGCCACACACTTGTAATCCCAACACTCACAAAGTAGAGGCAAGAGGATTTCCCCAAATTCAAGGCCAGCCTGGTCTACATAGTGAGTTCCAGATCAGCCAGGGCCACATAGTGAAACATCATCTTCAAAACCAACCAAACAGGTCGGGCGGTGGTGGCGCACGCCTTTAATCCCATCAGAGGCAGGGGGATCTCTGTGAGTTCGAGGCCAGCCTGGTCTTCAAAGACAGTTCCAGGACAGTCTCCAAACCTACAAAGAAACCCTGTCTCAAAAAAAAAAACAAAAACAAACAAAACAAACAAACAAACATAAAATACAGGGGGGAGGGAGAGAAAGCAAAAGGAAAGAGAGCAAAATATACGGTTATTTTGAATAGTTAGCCCTGCCTGGTCTAGGGCTGAAAGAGGCTGATTCTAAGATTGGGATGCATTCAGCAGCAGCTCTTGTCATATA